CCCAGCTCTCCCAGCCTGGCTCCAGAGCAGAGGGGCTGCAGCCCTTGGAGCATCTCCGTGGCCTCCTCTGGACTGGCTCCAGATGTGCTGGATAATTCCAGAGTGTTTAATTTATATTCTCACAAGCAGCTGTATGGTCTCACAGAGCCGGGACGGGGAGGACCCTTCCCCACCCAGCTGACCCTCAGTGTGCCCCATTTTGACATCCATAACCTCAGTGACTCACGTTTTTTCGTCCTCTCAGAAAACAACATTTGCAGCTTCACTTTCTTCCAAGCAGATTTTAAGAAGCTGCTGTCTAGGAGTTCCTGAGTGTGCTTTCCCTGATTAACACACCAGCTCTGGGGTTTGTGTGTAAGCCCAGGCGCAGAGCAGCCGTGGCTCCTCACCAGGCCGAGCCAAGGGCGCCGAGCAGGTTAATACCAGCCCTGCAATAAAAACACAAAGCAATTTAAAACCTTCTCTTCAGGTTTTTCTCCTTTTGTTTACCTTCCTGTAGACTTCAGAATAGCCAAAAATGAATAATACAGATATTACTATGCCGTTATGGATTTCTCATATGTGATGGACAGTCACCCAATTGTGAAACTTCTCGCTCAGGAGGTGGATCCAGGCAGAGCACGTTCCGGCTGCTGAGAAGAGCAGCTCCACATCCAAAGCCTATCAGCAAGTATTTAATTACCATCCCTCTGGAAGCAATACAAGTGCTGCCTATATTGAAGTGAAACAAGGCTTCTATTCCAGCAAGGCCTAAATATCCGCTAGACCATCACCTACCTAATACAGAATAAATTGAATTACTCAGGCCAGACACAATGTGGAGACACTTCAGGAGAAAATAAGATGCCTTAAAGTGAGCTGTAAAGGAAAATAAAATGACCATGGATGGCTGTAAATTACTCAGTGGAAGCCTGAACCTGTCAGAGCTGCATGTTCATAAAGCAGGAGGGAGCAGAATGGGACCCTGTGGCTGCTCCCAGCACGTGAACATCTCCCAGTCCTTCCCACCATGGCTGGCCCAGCTGTCCGGAGCCAGCCCCTGCTTCCAGGAAACACTTTGTCATCTTGTCTCAATGCTGCTGGAGGCAGGCACAAGCTCCACATTCAGCTGCCTCCAAGGACTACATTCACCTCTTTGTGTTTGGGTTTCTGTGCTGACATCAGGGAAAAACAATGTCACTCTGTTATCTGGCAGCTCCTCGGCATTCCTTGGTGGGATTAACTCATTCCTGGTACCTCACGCCTTTGGGGAGGCCTCCCCTGGCCCTGGGGATGGGTTTTCTTTAGTCTGCTCAAGTTTCTGCGTTTTTCGTCAATCCTCGTCAGATGCTCACGTAAACTCACTCCGTATTTCCCACAGCAACTTCTCTCCACCCTCATGGAGTTCTCTAGTCCAGCCTGACGAGGCTCCCCGGACTGCATGGGAACAGGGATCACAGGGATTCTGAACAGACAGATAGGCATGTCTGTGTTTCCTTCTGCTACATCTGCCTACCGCTGCACTTGTCCCCAGGACTGAATGTTTGCACTCGAAATTCCTTCTTAAAATCAACACTGCCATTCAGAAGAATAGAGCAGCAAAGCCTGGTGGTGTAACACAAACACGTGAGGAGGAACCATGCCGTGGATCCAGCCCAGCCGTGGGCGTTCCCTGCCCACGCAATGACAGACCTGCAGGTCTCTGCTCCCAGGTACATAAATACCATATAAATACCACAGAAACACTACATAAGTATGCCACTTACCAAAGCATTTAAAATAATTAATGTATTAGAAGAAAAAAAAACGAGGACAGAGTTGTGATTTGCAGAGAAACGACGAAGACTGTAAATGTTACATTTATTGGAATCACAGAATTGTTAAGGTTGGAAAAGACCTTGGAGATCATCAAGTCCAAATGTCAACCCAGCACCACCATGTTCTCCACTAAAAGGCGTCCTCAAGTCTCATATGCACACATTTTTTGAAACATATCTACTACTGGCATTAATCAGGGAATACAGTGCTCAGAATAATCTTTAGGAAGCTCTGCACATACGTTACACCAAGTTGGAATGAAGTTACCATCTTAAATGCTCCAAGTGCAAATGTCTTTTTCTCATGGATTTTTACATCTTTGATTTTTATTGACTCCACTTCCTTGTTTGTTGTGGAGAAATTGAGGAATAAAGCAAGGAAGGCTTTCGGCAGTTCCCAGTCATGAAGGAGACCTGCAGAGCCAAGTGTTTGACTGGGTTTTGGTGTGAGAACTAAAACATGCCAAAAATACAGGTTACAGATGAGCCCATAGTAAACAATTAGGAAAGTTGGAGTTAAAAAAGGAGATAAAAAGGCAGAAAACATGATTAAAGTACTGAGCTGGGGGATTCATTAGGATTGCAGACAGATAAGTAAATTAGAGCCCTGCAGAAATTATTTGACTGGCAAATTAATTACACAATATTACGGTGGCTTTCCCAGCCAAATTTAGCCCTCGGGAAGCAGGTAGGACTCTGCCTGACTTAATAAAAGGAGCCTTGACTGGTCTTCAGCTTAATCAGAGATGAAAATTAACATTTCAGGATTTGAGGCAAATAGGAGGTTTCTGGAAAGCTCTGTCACTGTAACAATTACACAGGTTACACTGACAATAGGGCTGTGCAGGCAGTGGGATGCTCCTGCTTTTTCACAGGCCTTTAATTCACCGACCTGCTCAGGAAGCCAAGGCAGGAGGTGATTTGGAAACCCACATGGAACCTCATTAGGACAGATCATTCAATGGGACACTTCAGATTTGCTTAGAGAAGACCTGATTAAAATATTGTACCCCAACCCTGCAAAAGTACAATACTACTTTATTATTATTATTATTATTATTATTATTATTATTATTATTATTATTATTATTATTATTATTATTATTATTATTATTACTACTACTACTACTGTTGTGGTTTATGGTTTATTTTATTTTTATTATCATAATTATTTCCTAAAGTGTTGACTTATTCCCTGAACCTCATTCCCCATTTGCAGCTCAGACTCTGCCCCCAGCAAGCAGAAACTTCATAGAAAGAGAATTATTTATTTTTCAGTTTTCTTGCTAAGTATCACATTTTTTAGGTAGAGATGTTAGGAACTTGCTTTTGGAACAAATGTGGTTTGTTGTTCCTGGAAAAACTTTG